TTGTGTATTGTGTGCGGGATTACTTTTGTACTGTGTAGAGGGCGCGCCAAACCTTTTCGATGCTGCGATTAATCTGCATGCCCCACGGGCATTTTCGGGCATTTATGGGGCCATTTGGGACATCTGGTATATTTGTTTTGGTGACTGCGATGAAATCAAGATGATCTAACAAAATGTTGAATTAGCTGAATTACGTTCGTTATCTTAGTCTGGTGACAATGGAAATTTTTATTGAATCAGGGATGTGGAAATTCATGCTGTTCGCTGCCTGGAAAGATAAGAATGCAATTATTCGCAACACGTTAAAAAACGGTGCCATTGGAAAGTTTGTATGGTCTGTCATTCATTTTGATCTACAATTGAATCCGTTATCATCAATAAAAAAGCAAGGCAATAAAAAAGATTTTGGGCAGCTCCATTCCCACTGCTCTGAGTTATGGTGCACGTTTTAGTGTCCCAACCAATACAAAATGACGCTTTTCGCGATGAAACAAGGGATAGCGGGTGTCCGCCTTGGAGTTGAACCCTCATAAGACCATCTGTCAGATGGAGGATTTTACGGCAAATCCAAATACCGTCACAATAGGGGGTGCGGATTCGCACTTTATTTTTGACCAAGCGCCCGTTGCTATGATCAAGCCATGGGCCTGGAAATAAGGTGCGGATTCGTTTTCGTTCGGATTCGGATTCGTTGTATAGAAGTCGTTATTTTCCGAAACACTTTCCGCATCTCTCCCTCTCTCTCGCTCTCTCTCTCTCTCTCTCTCTCTCTCTCCCTCTCTCTCTCTCTCTCTCTCTCGCTCTCTCTCGCTCTCTCTCTCGCTCTCTCTCTCTCGCTCTCTCTCTCTCCCTCCCGCTTTTGTTTCTTCCTTCCACGAGCATAACCTGTTTTCTAATCCATCACCCGTGGGTTTTTTCGAGATTTTATGCTATATCAGGGTAGGTTTTCTGCCCCGCGGCAATATCAAGATCTCAAAATCAACATCTAGCATCTAACATCTATCGTCAAAGACAACAGGATTCCCACTACCCATCAGATGGGATCATCATGCCGTCGCGGCACTATTTTATGCCCTTTCTTGACATATCATGCCCCACCCACTGTCGCGTGCCATAAATAGCCGGTGGGTATGCTCGAAGGGCCGTCATTCCGCGAATTCCTTTCCTTTCTGTTTTTTCACTTCTCCCTTCCGGAGGCTTACTGGATTACAGTAACCGGTCCTTTCGCATTAGAAACTTTTCCTACGCTTTATTTTTACAAATATAAATGGCGCAACTATTTTAAGTGGTTTTTTTCTCTTCCTAAAAGTAAAAACTTTTCAAATTTTTTTACAAATATATATCTTTTATCTTTTTTTTACAATTAATATGATGATCAAGCCATGGGCCTCCGAAAGTGCAGATTCGTTTTCCTTCGGCTTCCGATTAGCTGTATAGAAGTCGTGATTTTCCGAAACACTTTCCGCATCTCTTACTCTCTCACGCTCTCTCTCTCACGCTCTCTCTCTATCTCTCTCTATCTCTCTCTCTCTCGCTCTTTCTCGCTGAGCTTTCATTCTCACTCTTTCTCGCCACATTCCCCAGCTGGGTTCATTCACATTCTATTAGCGTTTTGGGGCTTCGGTGTACTTTACCCCCCCAGCCCGAAGGTCCAAAGGTTTTCGATATTTTCGTTATTTTTCGGGATTTTTCGACGTCATTTGATAGAGTCATTTCTTTAACGCCACTCAATAGAGCGTCAAAAAATATACTAAGAGTTTCAAGTACATCCCAAAATAATTTAAAACAAAATAGTTATGGCAAAAACAAGCAAAATTCGAATAGCCGCTTAAACATTATTTTAAGTGTATAATTTTAATATTTATTTTTTTGGAATTCCGGGCCAGGGGATAATAGCTGGGACCTAGGGCTACCGATTGGTGACCTTGAAAAAATTTTGGGACCTTCCGGCTGGGGGGGGTAAAGTAAACGCTCGCCGGTTTTGGCTTGAATATTCTCTTCTTAAATTTTACAGATTTTCGGGAACAGTTTGAATACTGCAAAGTACAGTGTCTCGAGGGGGAAGTTGAGATAGAAAGATTCTAGCTGTAACACACGCGACAAAATCCCAGATTGTCACATTTTATTAAAAAGCGCAGCTATTTTTCAAGCAATGTTTTTCGCCTTCCTATTTTGGTGTGCTTCTGGTTTTCTAGGAATTGATTATTCCTGAGATTTTTAAAATTTCTCATCAGAAAATGGCCTTTTCAGGGTCTATTTCCGGCAGCGCGGGGTGATTTCTCTTCAATTAAAGATGGCGCCTACCTCGGATGGCGTAAGATTGTGCTATATATTTTCAAAAGGGTGCATATCAAGTATTTAAAAGGCCGTTTGCGAGAGACCCGAACAATGCTTGGCACAGTTTTTTTCGACCCTGTTTTTTGACGCCATCTGAAAGAGCATAGTCGAATTAGTAGGGTAGGATGATTTTTAAAGTTTAAAAAGTTTAATTTTGGGGTTAAAATGGGCCTCAAAGTCGCCGACACCGAAAAATTATCTCGAAAACTACTGAACCGATTTTACTGAAATTTTGCGACAATACATAATTTGGGACGCGGATCATTTCTCTAATACATTGCAACACCTGAAAATGGCAGGGACATAGGTATACCGCGTAGTGCAAACAGTTTTTGCGGAATTAGTAGTTTTACGGGTCCCCAGAGCGCTTAGCCACTAATGTTAAAAGATGCGCGCGAAATTTCTGCATAAAATGGTATATCTTCTGGAGCGCTACGCGCGCCCGTAAAAAGCGAAAAATCGAGTTTAATGTGGCGCCAACGCACCAAATTCGGCAAATTTTTGCTGGGGTAGCATGGCCATGCCTCAGGAGCCCAAGTCAGGAAGCTTGCAAAAAAGAGCAAAAAGAAATTAGCTTTCTAAAGGTGGGCTGGGATTGATCTAGAGCCGCCCCAGCGCAAGGATCCCGACCCACTACCAATGCACCACAGCGACAGCCGAACAGGCCTGCAGCCAAATCGGCCCCCGGAGGCCACTCTCTCTTTTTTCCCCACTGTCTCGCCTCCTCTCGCCTGTCTTATGAAAGAAAATAGCCGAATTTGGTGCGTTGGCGCCACATTAAACTCGATTTTTCGCTTTTTACGGGCGCGCGTAGCGCTCCAGAAAATATACCATTTTATGCAGAAATTTCGCGCGCATCTTTTAACATTAGTGGCTAAGCGCTCTGGGGACCCGTAAAACTACTAATTCCGCAAAAACTGTTTGCACTACGCGGTATACCTATGTCCCTGCCATTTTCAGGTGTTGCAATGTATTAGAGAAATGATCCGCGTCCCAAATTATGTATTGTCGCAAAATTTCAGTAAAATCGGTTCAGTAGTTTTCGAGATAATTTTTCGGTGTCGGCGACTTTGAGGCCCATTTTAACCCCAAAATTAAACTTTTTAAACTTTAAAAATCATCCTACCCTACTAATTCGACTATGCTCTTTCAGATGGCGTCAAAAAACAGGGTCGAAAAAAACTGTGCCAAGCCGTAATGGGGTCTGTTCGGGTGACTCGCGGACGGCTTTTTAAATTTCTAAATGTCCGATAAATTGAGGTGACACCGAAACTGAGCGCATGGTAAACGTTCAAATGTTCCCTAAAAAGATTTCGTTGAAACGTTAACTTTATCTTTCAATCAATGGCCCTTTGCCTAAGTAAGAAACTAATTCTTTTTGCAATTTTGAATTTTCGAAGTTTTTTAAATTTTCTGCTATACCGTATTTTTTGTATTTTTTCTATTTCTTTAAATCCAAGCTTGACGTTCGAATTCTAGAAAATGGCTTCTGACCCTAAGCCGTTGCCCGTTGAAGTGCCCGTTGAAATGCCCTTCCACCTCACAGGCTCATCGACCTGTTTAACTTTGCGTTCAGTTCCACTGTCATGTGGGACTTGGTAAGCAAGCGTAGGAAGGACAATATTGGCTATAAGATGGAGGTATATCGGGCGGGTGTCAGAATTAATTGGGTGGGGTTTGGACTCACGTATTTTATAACTGATCATGACACTATTAAATTAATTGCCGGTAAAGCCCGGCATAATGACATTAATCTTAAAGTACATTCGACGTCATTTCTTCCGGGGGTCACGGCTAGAAAACTTTACCTTCGTTACCAACCCAGCTGGCGTGAAATTCTAGAACACTATTTGCAGCCATCTGGTTATGAAGAATTGTCGATCCAAAGCCCCAGTCCTTCCGCGAGCTTGAATAGACATTTAAACCGTAATGTTAGATCAGTACGGATGATTGCAATTCCGAAATTTAGTGGATGGAGCAGTTTAAGATGTAAGGAAATATATGCTACTGCCTGGAAAACCATTGCAAGGCCTTCGGCGTCCTAGGTTTACATTTTTAAGACTGAGAAAGAGAAAGAAGAAGGTTAAACATTTTTACGTCTCTAATTTACCAAATGATTATCGCAATCCGATTGAACAAGAGTTCGTGCCCGCATTCAAGTAAATTGATATGTAGTAGACCCGGAACCCTTTTTGCTCTTTCTAATTAGATTAAAAACATTTTTCAGGAAGCTTATTAACGATTAATGGACTATTCAGTAAAAACGACGATGCATTTGAGGGTTATGGTGGTGGTTCTTTTTTCATTATTTTATAATGCTTGAATTACAATTCAATTTTCAGATGCCGAACTATATGCCATTAAATGCTCATGATTACTCCTTAATGCTTAATGCCTAACGCTCGCTTATCGCCAGGATTCAAAAAAAACCTCAACTAAATAAACATTTGTAAAGCTAATCTGCCTGTCTGCTTCTTCAAACACGTCAGTTTTTTATATAAAAGTCATTTCGATCGGTCACTCCTGTGTAGTGGTACTTTTCATCTCGTAATCGTTAGTTTTCAAAAAATTTTGGTTTATTATTATGCTACTATCATTTCATAAGGCCCGTAATATTCATGGAAGCACCATTTTTCTGGTCAGGTTTTGTTGTTTGGAGTTTATGGCTTGGCGCAGGAGTGGCGGCCGCACGCTTCCTGAATGGCAGTGATTTCTGGGGTTTAGAAAAGTTGGTTCTCGGGCGCTCTCTCTCTCTCTCTCTCTCCCCCCCCCCCCCTGCCCCCCCCTCGCCGGCCCCCCCGCCCCCCCCCCCCCCCCCCCCCCCCCCCCCGGCCCCCGCCCCTTTAGCTCTCTCTCGCTCTCGCTCCCTCTTGCTCTCTCTCTCTCGCTATCTCTCTCACCTCCCATTTCGAGATGACTCCACTCTGAATGGCGGCCTCAAATTTGTCGAGGTCAATAAAAGCTTCATTGTCCATCAGCTTCTCCAATTCCGGGATCAAAGCGGCCTGAAAGAGTTAGCTAGAATTAGCATTTTTGGCATTTTCCTTACCTTGTAGATGACGTGTGTCTCAACGGGATTCGGGTCATGATCAAGGAGTCGGACTCCCGGGTTCGGTTTGTTCTGAAAGCGGAACGATTTTATCGGTTTCCTACTAAAAATACATTAACTAGCGTAATCGATTAGCTGATACCAGCTACCATATTCGTGCAATCACAGCTCTAAACTACTCTCAAAACAACTTTTACATAGCGTGATCGCTTCTCTGGCTGCCATTATGCAAATTTTTGGTCTCAACAAACGGGAAAACGCTAAGAAGCTGTTTTTGGGGCCAATCAGGCAATTTTCTCACCCTGAATTCAATGGCAAATCCAGCTGTGGTGGTGATTTCATTTCGCTTGTACCCCATCAGCTTCATCAGGGCCAACGTCACCTCGGTGTGCTAAAATGTATGAAATTTAGCATCTTCATCATTTTGAATCGACAGTAAAGCTTCAAAATCGCCCGTTTTTTCCGCTAGGTCTAGACAACTACGCTACAAGCCAAACGACGCGTACGATAGGAAGCGAATTTTGCTACAACCTGGCTTGAGGGCTGCAGAAATGGAAGCATGCGTCAATTGGAGGGTCGCGTGGCTGTCTAGACCTAGTCGATACGAGGTGGCGATTCTCGGACTTACTAACGATGTTAAGGCTTACCGAAGCGTATCCGATAATCTTTGGTCCTTTCCCATCCTTGGCCTTTTTGATGGCATCTAGAACATTCTTCAGCCAATATCCACCCATCATTCTACGGCAGTCTTCGTTTTCGGCGCAAGCGTTTTGGTGGGCTTCCGCTAGAAAATTCAGTTTAATTCATGGTAATTTCTAAATTTTTTAAGCTATCTGGCTCTCCTAAAAAGCAGAATATTTTGCGTTTTTCCGAAATTAGGAATCGAAAATTCAAAATTTTTGGGCAAAATCTTTATGATTTTTCGACCTCTGGATTGATGCGTTAAGCCATATTTAAGAAATTACTGACCAAACTCCATATAAGCCTTGACAAGTGAATCCTTATCATATCCGGGAAGAGTGGGATGTTCTAGCCAATCGGGAAGCGTCGCGTTGTACAGCTTGATCTCGATGATGTTGTCCGCCAAATCAGCCGCTTTCGAAACGGCTGCATCCCAACCCGTCTGAAAATGCAAGATCAGAAGTATCAACAATCAAAATAATTCATCAGAAAGGTGGCTTTTACAAAATTAAAAAATTTAATTTTCCATTTTCATGAAATTCAATCTTTTGATTTCGAAAATTGATTTGCGTGATCAATTAAATTGGCATATTAAAAGTGCTTTAATTTGCTGACGCTCAACCCACATTTTTGGCCATATAATCGAGCAGCACTTTTCCTTTCTGCTTCATTTCGGCCAGCGGTCCCCACGTATCGTCGGAAATCGGGGCCCAGGCTGGAATTTTTAAGAATTACCATAATTTTCAGATTTTTTGGCAGAATACGATAAACTGACAACCAGTTAACAGATTCCAATGCCTAAATCACAAAAAAACACTTGATTTTGAGAACCGATTAGGCCATGAAATGCATCAATTCGCCTTCTTCGAAATATGTCAGGAAAATAAAAAAAATCCTGATTTTTTTGCTCTAATTGTTAAATTGGCAGCCAGTTTACACGTTGAAAAGTGGAAATTTGCAACATCTCGAATTACCGTACCCTTATCACTGTTGGGGCAGTCGGAGACGGCATACATTCTCAACATCGGATCATCAATAGAGTAAGGGACTGGGGACCAATTGTCGAATTTCTTGCTCCAATCTCCCCAGCCAACTGGAGTGTACAGACCGGCGGTTGAGGCCTAAAAATGGGTACTGTAAGATACGGAAGGATACGCTAGGGTACGATAGGATACGGTAGGATACGATAGGGTGTGGTAGGTACGGCTGCGTACAGTACGATACGCTACGAAAGTACACGCTACGTGCTATACGGCAGGTCATACTCTACGGTAAGATACGTTAGGGTACGTTAGGGTACTTAATCTATAAGCTGAGTACCGCAAAGAACCATAGGCTACGCTACGCTACATGAAGATACGCTAGACTTTATATAGTACGCCACAGTATGGGATGGAAAATTAAGGCACGCTGAAATACGATTCGGAAGGACACGATAAATGGCAAAGTACGTTGCTGTACGCTAGCCAATTTCGCGTACACTGGAATGCTGTTGACACCAACTACTGCGGAGTACGCAAAGCTACGATCCGATACGGTACTGTAGAGTACGCTACGACCCGTCGTCGACATGGTGTATGACGGTATGATGCGATACCTGGAGTGTCATTTGGCATCTAGCGGCCGATGAACTGAAGAATTGGGCTTCTTTTGGTAGATAGTTTTCATCGAGGAACCCCTTGCCGACGAATTGCCGCAGAGCCGTGCCAAGGCCGAGGGCTTGAAGCTTACCGAACTGAAAAATGACGATGGTACATAGGAAATTGTAGAATTTTGGACTTCAATGGGGCTTTAGAAGAGAGAGAGAGAGAGAGAGAGAGAGAGAGAGCGAGAGAGGGAGAGAGAGCGAGATACGGAGAGGGAGAGAACGAGAAGGAAAGCGAGAAACTGGAGAAAAACGCACCCTGGTCAGCTCCATCGGCCCTTCCAATCCCCACGACTTCTCCACGGGATTTACAAAGTTCTCCGGGTTCCGGTTGCCGTGTCTATAGCATTTTAATGTAGTCTGGATGACAGTTAGAAAAATCAATCGATTTTTTGTAAAAATGAACAAAACTTGACAGCTAATATTACTAATTGGTTTCCAAAATGTTCAAATTTTCACTTTTTCTTTGGAATTTTACAGCTTCAGTAATACTTGATATTTTTATTATGCTTTTTTAAACTGGTTGTCAGCTTAAAGAAATCAATCAACATTTTGGAGTAAAGTCAAGGTATAGATTAGAAGATAAAATTTGTTACCAGTAAAAAATTGAAACTTTGATGATTTTTTTGCAAAAATTCGGATTTTAGAATTTTTCAATAAGCTTTTTCCGGTTTTTTTCAAGTTACCTCATTCCATAGAGCACGAGTACGGTATCCGGGTGTTTTTTGATGGATTGTTTTGGGAGGAGGACCGTTTCCTCGGCCACAGTGAATGTGGCCAACCACAGGATTGGGAACAGCGCCGCCACGCACGCCATCTAAAGTGTTTATCTCGGAGCGGAAATGTACAGTAACCCAGCTGATATGTTGTTTATGGAAACTGACAGCCAGAAAAGCGGAATCCACGGGGAACGTCAAGAATTTGAAAGTTTGAGAAAAATTTGGAGTTTTTGAAAATTCAATTTTAAAATTTAAATATCAACTTTCGAGGGTTTTTATTAGATTCACCAATACAGTAACTCAAATAGTTTTACATTTAGAAAAGCAAACTGACAAAAACGGAATTCTGAAACGGAATAAGAAGTTAACAAGATTTTTGAAAAATTTGAGGACTTTTTTGGGTTATTTCTGCCATATTTGTTTACAAACTCGACGGTTTTAATAAAATTTCAGAAATAAGAAAACTGAATAAAAACTAAGAATGGTCTTAGCAAGCAAATTTCAAATTTGGCTCACAAGGCTCGACGCTAGAAGCGATTGTTTATTTAGACAATTTGGAGGCTCAAAAAAGGCGTCGGGGCGCTTTTGGCATGCTAAAACGCACCATTCCACTTCCTGGCTGGCAACAAGCAAAAAAAACCCAACAATGCGTCCATATTACCTGGTAAGAAAATCGTAAAATATCGTAAAAGTTTCACACTTTCAGTTTTCCAGGTAACGAAAAGACAACATAAAATTCTGAAAATTAAAAAGCTAATTTTCGTTTTAAACAACCATTTTATTCTACTTCCTGCTTGCCAGAATACACAAAAAACTAGTGCCAATCGGGGGCATTTTCGAAAAGACGCATGGGTGAGTTAGGGGATGCCTTTTGCCCGTTCTTTTGGCCATCACCTGGACATGGCAAATATTTGACGACTCTTTTCCTATTTACAGTCATTTTACGGTTCGAGTGGCAGAGTCAGACAAGTTCTTAAAAATATTAAATGGGGCAGGAAGTTAAAATCACGATAAGGTATGATCGAAAACTTTAAAAAACCAAAAATAGCTTCGAATTTGCCCAAATCAGAGTTGTCCTTTCTTGAGAAGGCGGGGAAAAACTGTGGTTTTTCAGCAAATTAGACGGTTCTTTTATACACGGAACGTCCGAATGATTTTCCGGTTGAATAAGCCACCGGCCCCCGTTTTTTGCGTCAGTCGGGCCAATTTCGAATTTGATAAGCCTTCTTTTCTCTTCCGGTCAGAGCCGTTTGGTTTGGCATTTTTTGCCGTTGCTTTCGTTCTAATGCTAATTCGAATCCTAACGTTCCAAAAAACACGGTCGGACTAATTTCCAAATCTGAGTAGAACATGTACAAAAAAGCTAAATATTTCTTTGGAACCAGATATCAATTGCAAATATTTGAAACCAGATACTTTTACCAGACAAATAAGATTCGGTTTTACAAAAATGCTTACTAATAGAATAGTAAAATATTACTGAAAATTATTTGCTATTCGTGTTTCAAATTCTTAAATTTTTAAAACACTATGAAACCAATTAATAGGAAAAATTTTAAAACCAAAAGTTTGTAAAAATAGAAACTAAAATAAAATTTGAAATCTGCGTTCTTCCCACTTGCTTTGCTCAGTTGCGTTGTCCCAATTGTCCCAATTTACGAATAGGCGTAAGAACAGACGATTTTGATTGTAATGTTTCAATTTTTTCAAAATATTTTTTTGAAAAATTTGGAAAGTTTCAACAATTAGCCAAGATTTTAATTATTATATTAACTATTAATATTAAAATTACAGTAATCAGGAAAGTGAGAGAAACCCACCAATCCGAGACACATCCCCTGCAGAGGGCCCACTTTCATCCCCGGGTTGTGGCGACGGTTATTAATTTTTAATCGTTTTTTGGAGGTCAGACGAGGAAGTTTCTAGTGAATTCAGCTGTCGAATGTACAGCCGACAGAGCCCCAATTTGTCCGTTCCGATACTCTTTACAGCCGCATCGGGTTAAGCGGGTCCCCAAAACCGGTTGAAACGGATGGGATGGGCACCGCAGAAAAGGGCAAAAAATAGGAAACACAGAGCGAATAGAGGGAAATAGGGAAATGGCCGATTGCAATGGCAAACAACCCCGAAACACCTATATAACCGGCCACGGCTTTTTTGTAATTAGATGGATGTACGCCGATTTCGGAATTTTTCTTACTGACGGCTGACGAAGCTTCCGGCTGAAGCTTGCGATGGGCTTTGAAGCCGAAAATCCGCTTTTGAGGGTTGAGCGCTTACGCCTTGTAATTCTGCTGCGTGTAAAATATGGAAATTTCCGATTTTTGTATGTTTCCTGGTTAGTTAACTGGGGCCGATTCCAGCTTTACTTCTTCTTTTACTGACAGACAGCCGGAAACTTGGTATGGTCTTTGGAGCCGAAAATTAGATTTTTGAGGATTGAGCTATTACGACTGATAATTACGATGCTTAGAAATGGCTAGCTGACGATCAAGCTACCATTAGATACAGATTTCGAAACCTGTTATTCTTACTGCCAGACAGCACGAAGTCAAACGTAGTTTTCAGAGCCGAAAGCTCATTTTAGGGTTGAGCTATTAGGGCATGGAATTCTAATGCTGAAAACGATAATTCACACACATCGAGGCCGAAAGTCCTTCCCGTTCTGTCAACATCCCTTTAAAAGAGCATAGCGACAATTAACCTTGATGGAAACGATCGTGTGACCATGGAGAAGCGGCAGACCGAGGGGGAAATTGCGTGAAACACTTTTATGGCCAAGCCCCGATGAAGACCTTTCCCCCAATTTTTGGCGGCTATACAGGCGAGACGAGACAAACGTAAATTGGCTATCACTGACAGACAACTGGGGTCAGAAAAATTTTCGAAAATTTGGAACGTATTTCAGGGACTCTATGAGATTTCCAGACGATTACGGCATATAATGCGGACCGAAAAGGGCTAATTTTTTAAGATTAAGCTCTCCTGACTGCCGATAAGCTCGAAAAAATCATACAGGAAAACCCTAAGAAATTTTCCGGCTTGATCGCTTATGTTATGCAATTTTGATAGGTCGGGAAACTATGGAAAAACCTTGAGAATGACATAATGGAACATTTTCAAAAGTGAGAGCGATTACGACATGTAATGCTTAGCGCAGCTGTTTAGTTTTAATTAATTACGCCATTTAACTAAAAAGTCTGGAAAAACGCCAAAATTAGAAAAAGTAAAAGACGCAAATACTCAAAAAGACAGGATAAAATCGATTTTAAATGCCAATTCACACTTGCCGGAACCTGCGGAAAAACTGTAATAAAATTTGATGGTTTTTGGACCAGAGAAGCTCTTTTCAGGCGTAAAACTTGTCAGTTGCCACACAAATTCACACTTTTCAGAAACTGCGGGAAAACTGTAATAAAATTTGATGGTTTTTTGGGCCGTACAAACTCTCTTCGATCGTAAAAATGCTTGTTCCACTTTCACAGCACTATCCCAAAAACTTTATGTTTTGAATTAACATGAAAATCGGGCGGTGAGAACGGAGAAAAGGCGGAATTCGGAAGGCAAGAAGATGGAATGAGATGTCTCAAGGCCACACAGAAGCGTGATGAAATTCCTGAAAAGTTTCTATTTTGCCGGTCTTTTTCATTTTTGAAGCTGCAGTTTGTAGTTGCCGATTTCATCGAGGGCTAGAAGACTCCATCTAAAGGATATAAAATAAGCAAATCAAAGTGATTGATTAAATTCATTTTGTCCCCTAAAAAATTCTGTATCGGTTTTAGAACACTGCTACGTTTTGACCAATATTCCCTCCGTAAACCCAGCGTAAACCCCGCCCAAAAACCAATATTCTGGGGTTGTGTTGTGCGCTTATTTCGAAAAAGTCTTAGTCGTAAAGTCGTAAAAAGTCAAATTTTTAGAAAAATTATGCCCATCGGAAGCGACGGCCCGCCTTGCCCAACAACGCTGCACACTAAACCTCAAGATCAACCCGTTTTTGACTTTGATTTAGCGCCGTGAACACGAAAAATGCGTTTTGGGCGGGTGCCGTAAGCCCATAATTGATTTTGATCTCAAAATACAACTTCCCCGGTTCGGGATCGTCTTTTTCGGAATCAGCGCACAAAACTACGCTAGAAAAAGTGCCAAAGAACAAGATCTGAGCATAAGATCCGAAATAGCGCCAGAAATGTTTGCTGAAATGCAGTTGCCCACTTTACTAAGCGAAGTTTTCAACAAAATATTTATCAAAAACATTGTTCAACAGAATGAGAAGGCATAACAAAGGGAGAGAAGGAGCTAATCTCGATCATAATCCGAATCATCGTCGCTGGAATAATCGACGCTGGAATAGTCGTCCCCGGAATAGTCGTATTCGAGGCGGTCCGCCTCTCGGGCATAGGTGGTCTGCATGTAGAGATTGTAGGCGCGCTTTATTCTCTGACATCCCCAAAGCAATCTCCAGCCGTCACGACGGTCGGCGTCGTAATGCGAGAACGGCTCGATCGATTGGCCGCCGACTTTCAAAGTTTCCAGTGCGCTGCCCTGATCCGTACTGATATCGGTGCCAATGCCGAATAAATCGCGTTCCCCAAAGATCCATTGATCGTAGAGCTTCTGGAACATGGCTTGGAGCTGCGGGGCAGCCTCCTTGACATCGGTGTTCAAATAGAAGTCAAGCGAACCGAATGTCCATCCAGGGACGTAGCGGAACCATTCGGTTGGCAGCTTAGCAAAGTATATCCGTGTGACTTTTCCCGGCACCCGCGGCAGTCCGACAGCAAATTTGGTGGCTTTGGCATCCATTGTCGCCGCGTCGTCGTACTCCAGAAGGTCAACAGAGGCGCCCGTCAACAAAATCTCTGCCTCAACATAGGTGAAAGTTGCGACAGGGTCCATTGGAAACCAGCGGAACCCGACGCCATTCTGGCCGCACAACACCACGTCAAAGCGCTTGTTCTTCAGGTTCTTCGTAGCTTGCAGGAGATTTGGATGGGATTTGGCCACTGAGAGCAGATCCTTTGGGCCAAGCGCCTCCATGATGGGCCAGAGGAGAACGTAAGGAAGATTGCAGATATTGGCCGACGTTTCCGTGACTTTTGCTCCCTTCTCCTGATCGTAGACAAAGTTCTGCAGCAGGACACCGGCGCCGGTCGACTCAAAAACGTCATTGTCGATGATGATCGTGCGGCCGGATCGATAAACGAAGTCCCAGTTCTTGTCGGGCCAAAGAGCGACTTGTTTGCGCAAGGTGTCGTGCGAATTGGCCGTCTCGAGCAGGCTGCGAGCATCCAATGGGCCGAACACCTCGTGCATCAGGTTGAGCGGCAGATCGAGTAGTCCCTTCTCGGCGTGAACGCGTTGGCGCTTGACACTTGTTGATTGCAGGCCCCGGGAAGATCGTCAGCCGTTTCCTTCCTGAAAAGGCACTATAAGTAAAATTACCTATCATTATCTCGAAAATTAACATCTCGAAAATCAACATCTCGAAAATAAACATCTCGAAAGTTCATTATCTCGAAGTTAATTATCTCGTATCATTATCGTTCTACTCGAATTCCATATAATTAACTTTCGAGATAATGATCAATCCCCTATAAGTAAAAGTGAATGGAAGACGCAATGCAAAAAAACCTCGTACATCAGCTCGAGTAGACCCTTCTCAACGATCGGCTCACTTCCGTCGAGATCCATCGCTTCAAACAGGTCGAAGAATTGTTGCTCCATTCGTGCAGACGTGCCTGGAAAAGATTAATTTGGTGTGTCAATGGCCGAAACGAAAAATGAAATATAAAGAAAAATCGTGGTTATAAGCGACGCGCTGGAAATCGATTTCTAAAGTCTAGAAAAGAGCGCGCCAGGGGGAATTTTCTAGAGGGCGCGAAAATTTTCCCAGGTACTGGGTGAAAATTTTAAATTGAAAATTTTCGACGTTTGGTAGGGCTTCCGGCTGCACAAACTGCAAAGAGGGATTTGAAGGCACACACCTGGTGTACGGCATACCGAGTAGACCCTCCTCAGCGGTAGAGTAACGATGCTCGAGATTCAGCTCCATCGCGAGTTGTGGCTCGATTCGCGCCAGACGTACCTGAAAAAGAGGATTCAATACAGAAGATTCGGGAAATACGGGAAAATATAGTTAAAGAACTAATAATAAAAGCAAGGGGGACTTGCCAGAAGAAACGTCATATCGTGATGAAATACAAGAATTTTTAATTTTTCAGCGGTAGTTTGTAGTTGTCGATATCCTAGAAGGCTATAACCCTCCATCTAAAGCATGTAAAATCCCCACATCGAAGTAATTCATTAACTTTATTTTGCCCGCTAAAAATGATTTACCGATTTTAGCACATTTCTACGTTTTAGACACACTTTTTGAAAATGGCTTAACTTTAGCACTGTGGGAAATTCAGGCTCTTGCCATGACGCTATCAAAATGCGTCATCTGGGCGGCGCTTCTCTTGGCTCGGCGAATTTCATCGATTTTCGGCGCCTGCCAACTTTCTTTGAACGATCTCTTGCTAAGTCGTAAAATTGGATTTTCAGGTGAGTGCCATTTTACTTAATGAATGTAAAGGGAAATTTTGGTTCTTGCGAATTAGCGGGGCGAAGGGACCCAACTTTTTTGCATAATTCTAGAAATGCCTCGTAACTTGATAGAAAATATTTGAATAGCACTGTCGAATTAATTTTTGTTTAATAGTTATTTAAGGTGTTGTAGAAATGTTGTTTAATAGAATTATATACCTCTATTTCCACTGAAACCCTATCTAAAACCGTAAAAAAAGTAGAAATTTTGGTCAAAAAGCGGCCACCTTTGGCAGAAAAATCGATATTTTTGATATTTTTAATGCAAATTTGTAAAGTCTTGACGTTTATTTAGAAACAGCAGTGGAAAAAGCCCGCTTCGCGGCCCTTTTCCACTGGACCCCGTCCAGGAACGATGAATTCCAATACCTTCTCTTTTGCCTGAGGCGCAAGAACTTGAGTTAAGGAGCCATTCTCTGGCCTGCGGCGCCAGAGCCTTGGCCAAGGACCTTTTTTTTGGCCTGCGGCGCTAGAGCGAGAGCCAGGCCTAAACTGCGCGCTAGAACCTTTTGGCCTGCGGCGCTAGCTACTGGTTTTTCCCCAAGATTTGGCCTGCGGCGTAAGAGCCTAGATCAAGGACCCATCGTTGGCCTGCGCGCGAGAGCCTGGACCAAGGACCTGGGCCTGCGGCGATAGAGCGAGGGTCAGGCCTAAACCTCGTATACCGAGAGCCTGGAAATATATTTTGTTGCAGAACTACCAAAAAGCAAAAAATTCAATTCTCCCAGGAACCGAACTCACGACCATCGCGTGGTAGACTGGGCGCAAATCCACTACACCATGGGGCAGATGGGAGGAGGCGGCGGGAAAGCCCTCTTCTGTCCTGGGGAAAGGGGCAGGGAAGGCAAAGAAAAGGGCAACCCAATGATCCCCGGAGGGAGGCCTACTGGTCACCTTACAAAATTCCATTTATGAGCCTGAATCAGCTGAAAATTTGCAAAGATAATAAGATGCGCGTGATCCCCACCATCGAATACATAACAGGTCCAAATTACAGACCAAAATTCCATCTGGGCTCTGAGATATGGCCCGGACACCACGGCTCTTGGCCCACTTTATTAAGGACTTTTTAGAAAAATGCTCATAAAAACTTCATTTTACAAAATCTGGCAAAACGCAAAATTATATATCGGGAGAATTCTATTCCCAATCCGCCCTCCAAAAATTAAAGCTGAATTCCATTTGGATCGCGAGATATCCTCTGTACAAACCTTTTTTCGACCAAAATGTTAAGGGTTTTTCACTATTTTGCTTGTAAAATCGTTAAATGAAGGAATTTCCAAAAACAAAAAAATGCTTATAAAGAAGATGTGTTTCTCCACCTCCATGCCAAAAATCAGGCGGGAATTCGGCCTGACGGCCGAGAAATCGTCTGCACAGAAAACACACATACTTTTCTCGCTTATAGGATAGGATATCTACTACATATTTATATTTGACAAACTCGATCCTAAGAAAAAAATTTGAAAGCTCCCCGATAATGCGAAGAACCGAAATTTCAGAAAAACCGTTCAAATGGATGGATCGGAAGTTCGTGGTAATTTTATCGATCTTCCGCTGCCATTGCATCGACGTCTTCTCGAATTCCTCTCCTCAATGGATCCAAAGACACGATTCCGATACGCAATGTCGTCCAAATTTTTGTGGAAACTGACGGAATCCGGGACGAATGGCTGGGCAGATTATGAAGTGTACTTTTCGAGGGATGCCCCTCTGGCGATAATCTATAAGTCGTCACCTGATGGTACAGAATCGTATATTCAGGTGAGGATCAATAATCCGCGTGCCGAATCACTGTTGCTGTCTGGAATTACCGTAAGACTGACCATTTTGTCGTCGATTCCCACTGAAGACATTCCAATTGGGATGCGGACCGACGGTCTAAGAATAGAGGCGCCGCTCGATGAAGCCGCTTGGTTGGCCCTATTTGAAGGAATGGAGCCGCTGGCACGTAAATATCAATTCATACAGTTTGATAGAATGATGATCACGTTGCCCCCCGAACAAATATTACATTTTATTAACGAACACGTGAAAGAGTGCCGTTTCCCAAGGTTACCCGGCCGACGCCTGTGGTCTGAGCTGAAATGTCCGCAGCTACGGATTGAGGCCAGGACAGCGGGACATCATCTGATTCACCCATACATCGGTCAAATGGTAGAAGAGTGGAAAGAGGGCAAACGAGAAATTATAGAAATCAACATTTTTGCCGCACCGGGCTATGTAGTTAGATGTGAAGAACATCAACGGGAAATTGATGGACAGCGGATTCGAGTCAAATACTTAGAATACGGGCGTATCTTGTTGACCAGAGTATCGTAGCGTTTCCGACAGTGAAATATTCGTTTTTTGTCGTTATCTTTGTATGAATAAATATTAATAATATTTTTGAGTATATTTTGCCTAGAAGAGCATTTCAAGTTGTTTTTGAGGCATTTATGTTCACCATAGGGATGTTTAAGACTGTATTTTGCAAAACATTAGACTTTTGAGCTTTAATTGTGGCTCTAATCGGATTTAAGTAATTTCCATTAAATGCAAATCCTGGCTGTAAGCTAGTGATGGGGTTATTCAAATCAAATCTTGAGTAAAATCTGAGAGCTCAAATCCTACCTTATATAATTTTGGCGTGTAACTGTGTGTGTGTGTGTGTGGATGTCAGTTTCGAGGCCCGATTTGAGGGCCTTCCCGTGCATAAAATGCTCTAATTCTCCGTCACTTGGGGAAATCGACCCTTCTGTTTCCAATGGCGCTTTCAGAATCTTGATAAAATACAGGTTTACAAAGTTAAAGCCGGTTTTACTCATTTTTGGGGGTAATTTGCATAATGTGAAAAAATAGAAATTTCTTCATTCTTGCAAGTTGCACGCGCGCGTGTGGTGGGCCGGGGGGAGGGGGTCCGAAGGACCCGAGCCAGGCCCGTAGCGGAACCGAAATTTCGGGGGGGGCCCAAAAATTTTGGCGACCTCCCCCCGGTCGCAACTTTTAAAACATCCGCAAAAAAGCGTTCGCTACACTCAAATTCGTGTGAAAACACGGCAGCAAACGCGCCGCAGGCGAAAATTTTTTATCAACAATTGATTCAGCAATGAAAAACCAGCGCCGCAGGCAAAAAATTTTGAAAAAATAGGCTTCATATAAGTAAAAACTGTTTGAAAAACAGTAATAAACAGCGCCGCAGGCAGAAAAATTTTTGTAACTAAAAATCATAAGGGTCCCCCCCTTATGAATTTTTCGGACCTCGACCGATTTCGGGGGGGGCCCAGGGCCCCCTGGGCCCCCCCCCCCCCCCCCCTCCTACGGGCCTGACCCGAGCTATCGGAAAGTCAAATTTCTTAGGCAAAGACCGCATTCCAGCGCCCAAGGCCCGCGAAGCGGGTTTTGGGCGCTGGTCTGAATATTTGAAGGCAAAAATTTTGATTTCAAATCGGCGGATTTGATTTGAAATCCCGTGGACTAGTTCAAATCGAATCTCGAGAATTTGATTAAGCTTCCGGTCCCTAATCAAATCTTATGGAGATGCCGGCATGCAAAACATAACAAAATCGCTATGGCCGAGCTGGCGCGAACCGGAAATGACCTTGATTATGCATGCCATCATACAATTTGCATCCACTTAATGAGCTATTGATTTTTTCGACTCCTTTCAAATCCTCGTTCAAATCTTCAGATTTGAACTCAAAACTTCAAGTCCAAATCAAATCGATTTGATTTGAAGTGCTGAAACCTTATTCAAATCATACCGGCCGATTTGATTCGGCGGATGCAAATTAGATTTGAGATTTGAATAATACCATCACTACTGTAAGCTGATCAATCAATCAATCAAAGATCAATCAATCTAAGCTATGCCTGAGTCTGATTAGCTCCATTCAAGTCAAGCCGAAGCCTAACAGCAGCCAAGTCAAGCCTGGCTGTAAACTATCCATCTATATAGCGTAGATCCTATTTAGCATCTATTAGAGTTTTGGGAGCAATTCGAAGTTAAGTTAAACTTGGACTTGCGCCTAAATTGAAGCCTAAATTCCCTAAGCTTTAGTTAAGCATAATTAGAGCTAAGTTAAGCCTGGACGTCAGCTAAAAAGCAAGTAAGGTAAACGGTGTGTCTTGTAGCCCGTTACTGTCAACACAGTGTTGCACCCCTCAGATACATCAGCACCAGCCGTTTTCGGTTTTTGGCGCCTTTCTGAATCGGGGACCATAATCTGGCTAAAATCTCGATTCTATAGTCCACGATTCGAACCGTGGACCTTAATGAAAAATTCGGGAAATCTATGGTCCACAATTTCGGCCAATGGTCCACGATATCTCCTATGGTACCCGATACTTACTATAGTACCGGATATTTTTTATAGTACCCGATCTTTTTTATAGTTCCCGCTACCGGTATAGAACCATCTCGTTTTCAGGAACTCAGTGTGCCCTTGCGCGTCGGGGAGACTTGTCGGCGCGGGGAGCACAGAGCACGAACACTTTTGGGGCTGTCAGCTTCACCCAACGGACGCGGAGTCTTCGGCGGGCATACCGGATCTCACCCATGAACTTGGCGAATTTTTGGCATTCGGTCCGGTAGGAGGAGGAGACCTCCTCCAGTGCTCTCCCCCTGTGCTCGATTCCTATCTGGTTCGTCTACGTTGCGTGATCGAGTTTGCGAGTAAGCTTTTATTTATTGATGCATTTTTTAAATTCCAGCTCACAATCCAGCAAAAGTGGCAACCATTAATCAGTGCGACTCACCTATTACGAACGCGGGCCATTGCACTGTCCGTCGAGCTGGCAAAGATATCAACGCTCATACCTCGACCGGTATTTGTATTTTCTCGCTATATTATTCTTTCCTCTAGATGTACGAGGATTTGGCGCGAAAGTGTGAAGAAGTTGGTTTCGCTATTGCTAAGACGCGGCGACTAACCTTGGTAAGGCCCAAGAAAGTTTTTTAATCCTCTTTTTTGTAGTCAAAAAGGAACCAAGAGTTGCGCCCCAATCATCGAGCGACGAAGAGGATATTCAGTGTGATCCGGCGACCCTGTTTCGTTCTCTGGTATTTATTAGTCTTTGTCTATATACAGGGTGTCCCAAAAAAAATCCTCCCCCCCCTAGCCGGCCGCAGACCTATCCGATTTTTACGACTTAGGTATCTATCGAAAGCTCTCGAAAAGGCGAGTCCAGCACGTTTTGCCGATTTTCGGAACGTCGGAATTTTTTGCGCGATTTTTGGCATTTTTTAGGCAAAAAGGACACGCTTTTTTAACCAAAATGCAATTTAACCGGTTTAAGCGCTATCCAAGCTCTGTTTCAAAGAGCTGTCGTTGGGCTGCCAGGAAAGGCATAAAAATCCTTAAATTGCGATTTTCGTAAAAAACACCTTGGTAAGAAAAACATCAGAAAATCCGCGCGTTTCGCAAAAAAGATTAGTAAATGATAGAAAAATTTCAAAATTTTAAGAATTGGAGAGACGTCCTGGACTCGCCTTTCCGAGAGCTTTCGATAGATACCTAAATCATAAAAATCGGACAGGTCTGCGGCCGGCTAGGGGAGGGGGGGATTTTTTTTTGGGACACCCTGTACATGATTGCTAGGAGAGCTTTATGGATGAGGATTTACCCCTCCAGGGGGTACCGCTTACTGTCGGCGAGTTTATTCATGGGAGAATGGAAGCGGTTGGTATTTGAACCTTAGTTTGAGCTTATTTCTTTAAGCGTGCGGAGCGTCGTGCTGCAACCGTGAGAAATGTACCCTACCTCCACAATACAAGAGCCCGGTTGGTTGACACTCCACCACCGAACCCTGAACCTGAAGGATTTGTGAGTTTTTATTAATGTGGGTTTTTATTAAATTGATTTAAGCGATCTATTTACGCAGCGCCCCCCGGCTTTGCACCTAGTGTTCCTATTTCGAGACCTCTTGAAGCGGTAATTCTAATATTTTTTATATCCACCAAATTATCGTTCCAGCGTGTTGTGACACCTGGGTATTAAAGCGCACGTTCAGGGAGGGGCCGTATACTCGTCCCAACGTATACACCCTATGGACGTAGGGACCGCGCGCACCGCCTGCCCGTGGCGTGGCAGGCAATTTGCCTCCTTTGCGGGCTGGAGCGCCCCTCACCCGCTCGCCAGGTTGTAGCTGTGGCTGACTGGTATCCATCCGCGCCTCCCGAGCGGGGGGCCCGGGTTCGACGCCCGGCCGCGGCAAAAGTCTTTGCTTTTTTTCCAAAAAAAGTCCCTGAACGTGCCCTTTAAAGGGCTTGCTCGCCGCCCAGACCTCTAGCTCAGACGGTACTTTTCGTTGACTTACCAAATATGACTTTATAAAAAACGACTTTGGTGATTATTACAGCGTTCCCTGCCTCCTCCGATTCATGCATACAGAGCTCGTTCTCCTCCATCTTATGCGAGATATCAACCTCCTGTTCCTGTCTCTGATGGTGTTCGGTGTCGGTCTCCGTTTCGCGTCTCCGACGTAGGTTTCCAGCTGATAAGATGTATGAAGTACCAGTTCAGAACATTCTTTTATTATTCCAGGCTCTACGTACTCCTCCAGGTCCACCATATAGACGTTATTCACCCCACCCACCGTCCATCGATGGGATTCAGGCGAGTTCTGAGAGATTTGAAATAACTTCTAAAAATCAAAAATAAAATGTTATTCCAGTGTCCCGTGTCTCCGGTAGAAGGACGTATACGTCCGTACTCACCTCCACCGCGCCCCCCGTCGACTTCCTGTCAGGCAGGGTATGTTGTTTTTGGGAGTTACTATGGAACTATTAAAAAATCAAACGTCTAGGGACCTTCACCACCCCCGCCAGTGCGACCCGCCGTGATCGAGTTTCGCCCGGTCACCTTGGACAAACGGGTGCTCATCTGTAGGCAGCGGCAACCGTAATGATATAACGATAAGCCTCTGTGTTTTTCTCTTTTCCGTGTCTGAATAAATATCGTTGCGCATATCGGCGGATTCTATGAAATTGCAAAAAAAAGTTAACGAAACTGCTGCTCTCATTTTACTTCAAGTTTAGGTTTAGAGAAAAGTGCAAAATTTAACATCGCGTGGTCGATCCCTAACGTCAAGCAGCCAATAAATAATCAATGCATTGTGTGGCAAAAAGTAATAAATAATAAAGTAAATAAAAATTAAAGCGAATAAATAACTTTGGGTGGCACTAATTAACCTAAGAACTGTCTAATTTTTCAGCTGTAGTTTGTAGTTGTCGCTCTCCTCGACATGAAACGTATACAATCATTAAATTTTAGTGACTTTGGCCTAGAAAAATTTCGGTTTGCTACGGCGCTTTCCCGAGAACTGTCCAAACAATTCCTTATCTTTCAACGCGCTCACCTCGGCCCTCACCCCATTTTTCTTGCGGCATCCCCTCATCGATTTTGCGGGTTTTCCGCTTCACTTATGGCCCCGCTCTTTTATTAAACTAAAATTTCAGATTTTACGACATTTTTGATCGGTGTCCGTTCTTTATTTACAGGGTGTCCCAATAAAAAACCCCCCCCTCCCGACGCGAAGTATCGGATCGCAATGATATTTACACCATTCGAAAGCCCCTTGACAAGGCGAGTTTGCGACAGCTGCAAAACCATGTTTTTATTGAAACGCAGAATTTTAGAAAGTCTTGAAAAACGTTAAAGGGAAGCCGACGGCATAGACAATCGGTTACGCGCGGAAAAGAAAATGTCTCTGCGCCTCTCCCCAGGGCGCGCTCTCTCCCCTGTTGGCTACTTGCCAATTTGTTGATGGGGGGGGGGGGATCGACACATACCGTCGGCAGCCCTTTAAGGGACCGCCTCTGTATGTAATTACCGTCTACCGTCGATCATTTTGCTTGGAGAAATCGAGGCAAATTAGCTCGTATGCAACCCGAAAAAACCGCAAAATTTTGAAATGGCTTGTAAAATAGCGGGTCAAAATAAAAACATGGTTTTGAAGCCTTTTGCGAGCTGGTCGCCGTATGCGTCGAATTAGAGGGGGTGTTTTTATTGGGACACCCTGTATTGCTACCAAAGCCCATGTTTTAGAAATAGCGATCAAATGAATAAATCTTCTTGTGATATGGATTTCATTAATCTACCATTCCCATTCCATCGTCGGCTTCTCGAATTCCTCACCCCAATGGAGCCGCCGACACGATTCCGATACGCTAGGACTTGCAGATTGCTGTGGAAACTGACCGACGCCGGGACGAATGGCTGGGCAGATTGCCAAGTCAATTTCGTGAGCAACTCTGCCGTTGAGATATGGCACAAACATACAGCAGACGGTAACTTTTACAAGTCCAGAGTGACGATCAAAAATCCGCGCACAAAAGCATTGCTGCTGGCTGGAATTACCGTGCATCGCACTGTTTTGAATAGAATCCCAGCTGAAGGCATGCCAATTGGGTTGCGAGTCGACCGTCTAGATACAATTTCCTGCTTCGATGAGACCGCTTTGATGGCTCTACTCAAAGGGATGAAGCCGCAACAGTGCAAGTACCGATGTCTAAGCTTTTTAAGCGTCATCCCTACTAGCCAAATTCTTCAATTTATCACTGAACATGCGGAAGAGGCCAATCTTCCGTTTTTTCTGGAACGGAGCCTCTGGTCTGAGCTGAAATGCGAGACATTTCGGGTGTACGCTTATCGGCATCGAGAGCACATAATTCAAGAATTTATCGATTTGATGGTTGAGGAGTGGCAGAAGGGGTAAAGAGAGATTCGCGAAATTAAAATCGACGTCGATCGGGAGCTAAATAACCCCGTTGAAGTATATCGACGTAATATCGATGGGCAACGGATACGAGTAACATACAATAATAAGCACAGCCACCTATGTGGCATGGTCGATTTGCGAGGGCAACACATTATCACTTCCGAAAACTGCACACAAGTATCTACTGCCTCGTACGCGGACACGGACATGCTGATTCCGGGTCTTTAAAACAATCAGCGAGGCCGCATTACGTATAGCTATAGCGTTTAGCAAAAGCTATAGCGATTTTAAGCCGGGATGAATTTCCTTGGCCTCACTTTTCCCTCATTCGGCCACTCGACTCGTCTCTGAATAAATGTATTTTGATCAAGATATTCAGACATGCAGTTTGCAGAATGTTACATCAAAAAAGGAGATAAAGCATTGACGCACAAGCAGCATAAACATAAACCTGAAGGGTCATAAAAAAACGATGAAATGCATACAGACAACTGGCTCATCCATTCGATTGAGATTTCTAAGCTGGCGATATTAGCAGAAGGAGTTACTTGCTTAGTTGTAGGCAAAATTCAAACACAAACCAAACTAGGAAAACAGGATTTAAAGTAGAAAAACTTTCAAAAGGAAAAATCCTGAAAAAAGTCGAAAATTTGGGTCATTTTGGGTCCTTCCCCTCCCCCGCTAATTCTAAAGGTTCTGAGGATTTTTCGACCTAAAATTGTCTTTTATTAAAATGTGTGTCGTTTTTATGCTCATTAATAGCGAAAAACAGTTTAGAAACGCATCCGCGATTAATAAAAAAAATTTAGGCTTGTGCCGAAAATTGGTTCCCCCCGCCCTGAGACCCCTACAGAACAGATTTTCCCCATCTTTGATTCTTGCCCTTTCATTTATTAATTCTCGTTGAAGAGCCATTTATTGGTATATATTCGGATAAGCACTAGAGTCAGGCTATCTATGTTTCGCTAGTAACTATCAATCACTACGGTAGATACAGATTACATATTCCTCCCTCTGCTGTGTGTAGTCGACCCGAATCCGTTGTCCATCCATTTCCCGTTGATGTTCTTCAACTCGGTAATCGTCGAAGTCCGAATAAATTTCAATAGATAGAATTTCTCGTTGCCCCTTCTTCCATTCCTCGACCAGCAAATCGATATATGGTTGAATGAGATCATCGTCTTCCTCCCGGGTACACAGTGTAAATGTGTCGCATTTCAGCTCGGACCATAGACTTCGTTCCGGGAACATCGGAAAGTGGACCTCTTCCACGTTTTCATTAATAAAATGGAGTGTTCTGGTAGTCGGGATTAGTTTTTCGAAGCGTATCCATTCGTACTTCCGGTCGAGCGGCTTCATTCCTTCAAGAATGGCCGTCAAATCGGCTTCTTCCAAAGGATAAAAGTATGTTTAGACGATCGGACCGCTTCCCCAATTGATAGCCCTTTAGCAGGAAATGCGCGCAGATCGGTGCGATCTACGGTAATTCCGGCCAGCAGCAATGATTGTGTTCGACGATTTGCGATCGTCAGATTCGTATGGAAACCATTTGACCAGATCGCAACAGTTGGCTCACTCGTGAAGATGACGTAATAATCTGCCCAGCTGTTCGTCCCGACTTCAGTCATTTTCCATATTTTTTGGCAGGTCTTCGCGTATCGGAATCGTGTCTTTAGATCCATTGGGGTCAGGAATTCGGGAAGACGACGGTGGAATGTCAGCGGTAGATTGTGAAAATCCGCATCACAAGATGATTCATCCATTTGATCGCTCAACTAAAAAAATGCATAAGCAGCAGGGTTGGTCGCGCTGATCCGCGATCCGGTCCGGTCCGGGGGTCGGTCCGATCCGGTCCGGTCCGGTCCGAAATTTCCATCCGGACCGGACCGGACCGGACCGGACCGGACCTGTCCGGTCTGTGGCGGACCGAGGGGCTTTGATTTGATTTTCCTTTTGTTTTCAGCCCGGTCCGAAATCCTCGGATCCACTCGGACCGATCCGGACCGGACCGGACCGCGGACCGTCCGCGGACCGGATCCTTTGTGACCAACCCTGATAAGCAGCGATAAATTAAGGGTGCTGTTCTAATGGCCGGTGGCGAATTTAAACAGGTGCAAATTTTTTGCCCTGACTTGTTTTTAATTTTCATTATTCCGGGCCCTAAATATATATTTTTGGTGCTTTATCGAATGGCATCATCAAAGCAACAGCAATAGAAAAAATAGCGAAAAGGGGATCCCTGCGGTTTTGCCCACGGCCAAATAGAACATTACCAAACAAAGAGAAGCCCGACGTAGGCGCGTTGAAAACCAATTTTTTCGGCAGTTTTTAGGAGGCGAATACGAATCTCTTAGTGTCGGAACCAAGTGAATTGATTAATTTCCACGAGCACGAAACGCGAACGTGGCAACGGCCAGCATGAAATGGCAAACAACCCGACTCTCAAAAAACCTTATCTTTGCAGCTGCTTACCTGGGACGGTCATTTTCTTGCTGCGTACTTTCATCGATTTTGCGGCCGATGGCGGAGAGTGGGAAGTCCGGATTTTCCAAATGCTCTTATTGACGGCTAGCAAACCGATCGAAATTCTTAACCACTGGTTTGATAGCGCATTCCAAGGGCTTCATTTTGATACCCTTGAAGTCCTCGTGACTAATAAAAAGTTCCATACTTTAGCGCTTCAAAGTTTTCCACTTTTACAAAAATGTTCAAAATTTTTTGACGACCCTGATCGCCAAAAATCTTAAAGAACAACTTGTGTTATTTCTTCATGCCCAGCATATTTAAGCATTCTGGCAAGGTAACCATGGTCCGATGTGTTTCCTCCTAGCGAGATTTTCTGACCAAAACTTTACTTTTTTTGGCCCACCCTGTATGGTTTTCGTAAATTTGTCTGCGAATTTACAGGAAGTTTAAGGATGTGCTGAATTTTAAGCACATTTATTCAGAGGCGGAAAAAGCAAAACGAGTTCTATTTCACCATTTATTAGACTATATACTGGGTCCTCTGCTCAATCTGACACACCCATCTTCGACATAGCCGACTCGAATCCGTTGTCCATCCATTTTCCGTTGATATTCTTCGGCCGGCGGATCATGGTCCAGTTCTATGTAAATCTG